ATATCTCTTAAGTATGTGAGAAAGTTAGGGAAGAAGCAGCAAAGAAAAATACTAGCCATTCTGGACAATGAGGAAATGGGAAGTTAGCTGGAATTACCTACTAAATGGAGGTTCCTTTGTGATTTCAATCCATGCAGGGTGCTCAGCTAGGTGGTTCACCAGTTGACTAATGAAATTCTGTGGTTCTATATTAAGTTATCAAAACCAAACTGAGTTATTGAAAACCCATAGTGAATATCATAACTGAGCAACAGAAAGAAGGAAAGTCACATTGGCTTACTTGTTTGCTGTGATTACTATAAATTTCAGGGGGCAGGTAAAAGGACACATCCAGCCAAGGAAAAATCTGGCCTGTTTCTCAGCATGTTGGTTAACCAAGAAAAGTGCTTACTCTCTCTCCAGAATGAACACCAATGTAAGCACATTGTAGGCACTAGTTCTTTGGTAAATAATAATAATAATAATAATAATAATAATATAAGAGAAGCAATTACCGGGTTTCTACATCACAATATCTACCAGCACAGACCCATACTTGTTAGTACTAATGTGGATTTGAGAGATTATCTAGTACCTCCCCTGTGTTGCAACGGTAAAGAACTTTAGTTTTCTGGTGGGGAATTAACAGGAGTTAATTCCCCACCAGAAAACTAGCTGACTATCACCTGTTTCCTTAAACATCTCCCATCCCTACCATAAGCTCAGCTAACCTACCTCCTGATATCAAAAGCCAAATGAAGAACAGTTTTTCTGAACAAAAGAACTTTTTCTAAAGAGGATTAGATGGTGCCCTACCTGGGTAGCTCAATTGGTTAGAGCTTCTTCTCTACTAGTATATACTGAAGTTGAGGATTTGATCCCTTATCAGGGCACATACAAGAGTCAACCAATGATTGCATAAAGAAGTGGAAAAAATTTCTCTCTCTCTCTCTCTCTCTCTCTCTCTCTCTCTCTCTCTCTAATTTCCAATAAATAATTACATACATACATATTTTAAGAAGCTACCATAAAATCTAGGGCTTTAAGAATTCTGCTACCATTTAGATCAACAATGAATGGAAAGCATCTGTCCTCAACTTACTGGGCATATGTGCCATTCTGCTATTTCAAGTGAATAGTTTATGGTCTTCACTATAATATCATTACTGAGAATTTACTTCATGGTCTCATTTACCAATAAGACACAATATATGAAGACAATCACAAAACCTTCATCTAGGGCTCCAGATTATAAATCTCTTGCAACTGTCCAAGTCTCTAGATACCACAAAATACATTTCACATCCAGCATTTCTTCTGATCCTCACAGTAACATAGTTAATGGCCATTCTGATCCTGTTTTGCAGATGAGCTAAGTAGACTCAGACAACGAAGGGCCTTGAACAAGGTCTGCAGGACAAAAAGCTGAAACTGTCTACAATTGCCTACCCAGCAAAGTGCATGGGTTGGAAGGAGGAACTCAATACATAGCTAGGAAGGGAGACAAAGTAAAGGGAAGGCATGACACAGAAACAGAAACTCAACATTGATTTATCAGATCTCTGCATTGCACTACAGCCATGTACTTCTTTGTGTTCTTTCTTTGGAACCATTGTCTCATGGGGGTAAAAGGTGGCCTCAAAATCTGGGAATCACTTAGTACTAGACCTAGCTCTGAATCACAATAATGCTATGAAGCAACAAGGCCACACCACTGACCAGAAGAGTTTATCCATCTGCTTAGGTACAGATGGGTAACTAGAAAATGTGGAGAGGCAGGATTTTCTGCAAACTGAGCTTCAGGATTTTCTGATGATAATCTGAGTTTGGGGATTTTTCAGATAGGACAGGAGAGGGGGATGGCCTCCAGTCATGCTCGTGAGAATGAGGGATCAACCCAAATCAACTTCAGTATGAGTCTCAGTCTTTCTCTTCTCTGACATTTGTACTCAGTGAAGAGTACATAAAGTTATTTATATAAAAGTTATCTATATAAAAAAGAGGTAAACAATAGTAAATGTACCTCCCTTCTTGCCTGAGAATATTCTCTGCTGTTCTCATGTAACTTCATACACCAGAACCAAGGCACAGAAAACAGGAGGCATATATATTACTTAGTAGCAGGGATAACAAAATCAATTTCAGGACAACTTCCATGCAAAGATTCATAAGTGTATTTCGAAAAGCAATTAGTCAGTGAAGGTGAAAAATCTGTTCAATGGGAAGTAAATTCCCTTTGGTGTTCACTGACACCAGATCATTTTGGCCTTCAAATAAGAGAGGACTTTTGTGGGTTTTTCTTCACCAAGAATTTTATGTGGAACAAGTTAAACTGCTTGTGTATTTCCACTTGCATAACACTTTTAGAACACATGAGCTTTTATGTTTTTTCCAGATACAAGAAGATGAAGCTTGGTATATATTCCTGTGAGAAAATAAACAGAAAACTATGTCTCTTTTTAATATATTAGTGCTCTATAATCCATACCATATGATCAAAACCATATTAAAAATTAAATCATACTGACAGTCTTGGGCAAAAAGTGAAGCAAGTAGAAACAATTTTTTTTAGGACTGTGTTGTGTAGAATATTAAAATCACATGTTGTGTTATTAATTTTCTTTTGGAAGCCAAATAGAGTTCTCTCACATAAATTTCTCAAGTCAATATTTACCTTACAGTTTCCCCCATGAAAGTTGTTAGAAGCATTTAATTAGTGGTATTGTCATTAGGCCAATCTATAGGGTTGATATTGATAACAAGCCACTTTGAAATGACTTAGTTCACATGGCTTTAATGGCAATGTACATATATTAAGCGGATAGCTACGTGCGTCTTACAATAAAATACAAGGTCCTGTCATCATTCCTTTTTTTAAGGTAAACAAAAATCACTTATTCAAACAGGCCAACAGTGAGTAAACATAATAAGCAACGAGGCTTAGGATATCAGCTTTTGGGAGTGACATAGGGAGTCCAGGCAGATGAAACATACCCCTTCCTCATACCTTCCATGCACAACAGAGCAGCGTGGGGTTTCTGTGCCCTTGCCTACAAGAGAGCTGATAGGTGTGTCTTTTCACAAATTCCTTCACACTCTTGCTCTTTTAATAATAATACACCATCTCTTGGGACTGGAGGAGGAGAGCAACCAGGCTGCACAAAGGCTGTCCAGCGTGTTCTTGCTGGGCTTTCCCAATCACAAAGTAAGAGGTAGGAAAGGACATGGCACCAGCTGGCAAGAAAGAGTTCAATCCACCACCAACCAAACTTGCCAGTAAACACTGGAAGCTCCAGGCAAATTTACAGCAAACAGCTTCAATGTGTTTAGTGCTTCCTGAGTCTCCCCTAGGCCCAGGGGGGGTCTTTTAAAAATTCAATAGCTTGGCAAAGAAAATCCTAGCCTTCCCACTGTGCATGATAATAAGCCAGCCGCCTCAGGAAGGTGGGCCCCCCAGTGACAGTTCCTTTATATAGCATCTTAATGTTGAGTTTCCATGAAGAGGTGGGAATGGGATTTGCAGTCAGCTTCCTAGCTCTGCACAGAGCACCATTTTAACCCTAAACCCTCCCTCCACGTAGCTACAGGGGGCCAATCTTATGTTTAAACTCTCTTTAAGAGTCCTCTCTTTCTTTGACTCTCAAAATCTACCATGGACTGGCAAGCCAAGGAGGGATGGACCTCAGGAAGGGCTGTGCTACAGAAAGTCCTAAGAGAGGGAATGTGCGCAATCTGCCCCGACAAATGCATTTCAAAGAGGACTGAAGCCTCGGTGCAGGAGTTCTATTTGGAAGGGACTGAATCGGGAACACAGATGTTACTTAGTTAGCAGAGTTGGCAGAACAGCTCCTGGACCAAATCCGAGTTCTTAATGCAGGAAGAGGCCTTGGAAAGCAGCAAGTTGAACCCACTCACTGACATGAGGAGGAAACTGAGGCCCATGAGGCTGTTAGGTGGCACACCCAACAAGTGGCAGAGAGGCAGCGCTCTGATGGCAAGTCCTAAGCGCTTTCCATTACACCATGATTCGCTTTTTTAAAAAAATTTAAAAATAAATAAAAATTCTACACTGACTTCAATCTTGGAACTCCTGTATATTCGTGTCAATAGCTTTTCCCCTCCCCTCACGGAGTTCATAAATCCTTCCCCTCCCATTCCCATTCCTTTCACTCCCACAGCCCTTCCAACTAGTTTGATTAACAGACGTGGACTATCGCCCGACTGTTTTTGGGGTGCGTTCAATTTATGGTCCCAAAACTTGAACGTGACTTGCTTTCGCCCCCAGTGCCTCAGTTTCCTTGTCGGTGAAATGGGGCTTCTCCCCCGAACTGCAGAGTCAGGGAAGAGAGCCGGTTAAAATGACGACCTTGCACACAGTAGGCGCTTAAGAAGTGATGGCAGCATGGGGACCCCCCACCAAGACCTTGGAGACCGCCTTCCAAACCCCTGGGGGGAGTTGAGGAGCGGAGCAAATGGAAAGGCCAGCTTGCAGGTCTGGCGGGGCCAGGGCAGCGGCGGCGGAAGGGGTTGGATGTTTACATCCAGTCAAGGGAAGGCAGCTTGCGGCTCCAGGCGGGAGCCCAGCGCTCGGGCAAATCTATTTTACTTGGGTGGAGGGCAACCACCTAGGCGCTGATCTAGATCATGGTTCAACCCACTGCCCCTATTCTGAAAGGCGGAATCCACATCTTCCGTGGGAACTCCAAGTGGGACGGTTTTTAAGGAGCGGGTTTACAGGAGCCCGCGAAACCCTAAGCACGCCCAAGCATTCATGTGCAGGCCGGAAAGTCTGTGGGATCGGGGAGGGAGCGGGCCATGGGGCCAGAAGGGGAGCGAAGGATTCCCCCAGAGACGCAGCGCGGGCCTTCCGGGGCTGACAGCCCGGCGGCGGTGCCCTGAGACGCGGCCCCACGCCAGCGAGGAAGCGCCGAGCCCCGCGCGCAGGCACCCCGCCGGGCTGGGATCCGCGCAGGAGGGGCCGCGAGGCAAAGGGGCCAAGGGGACAGCGGGGCTGCGCTCACCCATAAAGAGGCAAAAGAGGTCGAGGCCAATGAGCAGCGCCCGCTTGCTGCCGCCCTTCCTCGGGTTGTTGTTGAGCGCCGGGCTGCCGCCGTTCTTGCTCTCCGGGACAATCGCCTTGTCGTACTTGTAGTTTTGCATGGCGCTGGCTGCGGCGCGATCCTCCCGCCCCGCGAAAGACGCTCCGCAACAGCGGCCACACACACACCCGGACGCGGGGATCGCTTCCCGGCCGAGGCTGCTCCGGAGAGTCGGCGGGTCCGCCCGGGTGTGGGGAGCGGAGGGAGGCGAGAGGGCGGCTTCGCTGCCTGCTTCCAATGCAGACTGTGGTGTGTTCTGCTCCCAGTTGGGTGCCTCTGCTTTCTTCCTCTCTCAACCCCAAATCGCTGGAAAGTCCAAGGGGAAGAGAGCCAGATCCCGAGCAGAAAGTTTTGCAGAGCTGCGCTGCTCGGGGCGCGCGGGGCTGGCGTGTGCCCGGGGGAGTGAGCGAGCGAGTGGGCAGCGCGGGCGCGCGGCCACTGTCCTCCGCAGCTGGCGACTTAATGAATGGGAGCTGCGCGGAGCCCGGCCACTCCGGAGCGCCAGCCCCAGCTCCAACTTTTCCTCCTCCTGCTGCTGCCGCCGCCGCCGCGGCTGCTGTTGTGATCGCCTTAGGTTTGTTTTCTGCACTTTTATTTCACGAGGTCCTTTAAAAAGAGAGAGAGAGGGAACGAGAGGGACCTCCTCACTTGGCTCTGAAGGGATTCAGAAAGCACACCCCTTCCTTAAGCTGCCTAAGACGTAAGATAATTAAGGCCACATTTTCCCCCACCCCTTTCACAAAAAAAAAAATCCTAAAAGGAAAAGTTACTCTCAAAGTAGAGAATCAGGGAGCCCCTAGCGTTCAGAAACATCAGGTTGTCACACACACAAAATAAAAATAAAAATAAAAATAAAAATAATATATATGTATAAAGAAACATTTTCTTGCTGGGCTTGGATCAAGCAAAAGTTAAGGTTGTACAGCTAAAATGTACTTCTCACAAGTTTGGGGCTTTCAAATCTTTTTTTTTTTTTTTTAATCTCCAAGTCTTTATTTTTATTTAAATCGCATTTTCCTGAAAATATTCGAGGAAAACTGTGTGGTTGTTTGTTTTATGTATTTTTGTTTGTTTGTTTTTAGAAGCTCTTAACACCCAGCACGAATTCCCACTCCATTCTGAGGATAGTAACATGAAAAAGACTACAGGACTCTGGAGCTAGACTCAGTGGATTTGAATCCTGGCTGTGGCTCTGTGCCTCAGTTTCCCCACATGTAAACTGCAGATGGTAACTCTCACATATAGTGTATTTGTGGAGATTTAATTAGTAATCTACCTAGAAAAGTGCCAGGGGTATAGGAAGTGGTCTAATATGGATTCCATGAGTTTGACTCCTGTTGCTGGGGTGAAGGAGTCTCAAGCCTCCAGCCCCTGTGCCAAGGGTGCCTGTAGCACAGTGGGGTGGGGAGAAGCCAGGCCAGCAGGAGTACTCCCTGGAGATACTATCTTTAACTTGCATTTGGGGGCAATCTAAGCTTTGCCTTAGGTTGTTATATTACTTTTAAATTATTTTATGTGACTTAATCACTTCCAGATAAACATTCATAAGGCAAGGACCTTCCCTTGTATTTTCTGTAGTGCCTAGCAGAGAGTTAAGTACACAGTAGACAATAAATGAATATTTCTTCCAGATGTCTCTTTTTATACATCCTGTAGCTTTTAATACTTGATATGGGGTTCTATAACCCTATCAGCCACTTGCCCTTTCCTTCTCTCTCTCTCTCTCTCTCTCTCTCTCAATCTCGCTCTCTCTCTCTCAATCTCTCTCTCTCTCTCTCTCTCTCTCTCTCTCTCTCTCTCTCTCTCTTTCAAATGCTTTTTTAGAAAGAGAGGAAGGGAGGGAGAAAAACAGAAACATTAATGTGAGAGTGAAACACTGATCAGCTGTTTCCTGCATGCCCCCTACTGGGGATTGAGCCTACAACCAGGGCATGTGCCCTGACCAGGAATTGAACCAGTAACCTTTCAGTGGATGGGAGGACACCTAGCCAACTGAGCCACACACCTGCCAGGGCTACTTGCCCTTTCTCAAACAGTCTTTTCACAGTGCAGCCCTTGCCCCTATACTCCCTTGTCCTATAATGCACATCTGTTGCTTCTCTAGCTCCCACAATGCTTTAAGGTCCTCTGAAATGTTACCTTCTCTGGTCCTTTCTTGACCCCTGGACAGAATTAACTTCACCTTCCACACTTTGTCCTAACACTCTGGTAGCACTTGTCTGATTCGGTGTCATAAGACTAGTCCACTCTATAAATTACCCTCTTCACGGCATCTCCTCAGTACCTGGCACACCGCTTAGTGGCTGCTGAATTAAGCTCAAGTCCAGACTGGATAACAATACGACAAAGAAAGGCCAACTCGCTGTTTTTCTGGAATCTGAGAGTAAATGAATCTTCAAGACAATGCTGAAGCAGGGACACAGTACCCAAGAGGGGAAAAAAAAAATTAAAAAAAAAAAAAAAATATATATATATATATATATATATATATATATATATATATATATATATATATATATATATCAGCAAGTAAAAGCCAGGCTAACTAACAGAATAGATTCCTTAGGTAACTTTTCAGTGAGAAATGTCTTCTTTTGAACTGTTAAAGTAGCAGAAACAATACAAGGTTGATTTCACCATTATTGACATTGTAAAAGGAATGCAAGGATCCCAGTGTCTCACCCTTGCCCATCCAACCTTCTTTGCAAAAAAAACAATCTAAGTCGCCAAATCATATATATAAAATTTCAACTTAAAAGTGCTTACCTTCCTAAAACTACACCTTACTGTGATCTTTTCTTTCTTGGAATTCGAAAAGTCTTTGGGCATGTGTGCTGTCAAGAAGGCCACTTATGCCCTGGGCAGTTTGGCTCAATGGACAGAGAGTCAGCCTGTGGACTAAAGGGTCCCAGGTATGATCCTGGGCACATACCCAGGTTGTGGGCTCCAGTCCCAACAGGGAGTGTGCAGGAGGCTAGCCAGTCAGTGATTCTCTCCCATCATTGATGTTTCTATCTCTCTCTCCCTCTCCCTTTCTCTCTGAAATCAATAAAAGTACATTAAAAAAAAGAAAAAGAAAAAGAAAAGAAAAGAAAAGAAAAATGAAGGCCACTTATATTCCACTGCATACTACTCTGCTCTGTTATTGAAATTGTATAGTTACGTCTCTTCACCTTATCTGTGAAATGACTTTTATTAATTTAAGAACAAACATTTTTAAAAGCCAGGTTTTTACTGTAGTTGAATATCATAACTCACTAATCATTGTTGTTATAGTGTAAGATTGTTAACTTTATAGGCACTAGATTGAATATAATTTTTGCTTTAATTAAATACTATCATTTTGCAATGGATGCTTAAATGATAGTTTTACATTTCCATTTACAGGAGTCTGTGGGCTATTTTTTTTTTTCATAACAAAACAATCCTAGTGTTAATTAATGCATGAAGTTGTATGCAAACAAGTATACTTGGATAACTCTTCAAGGGAACAGAAACTACAGAGGTTCGTTAAAATTGACTTGAGCAAGTCATAAATATAGTGTCAGTATCATTCTTTAGATAATAGAAAATAAAATAGCCTTCCAAATACATAAATCTGAAGGCCTTTTTGATTTAAACTCCAAATTGAACAATCTATCTAGCAAGTAATGCCACAGAACAGACTTGATAGTTTAGAATGGTGTTATTTAAAAGTAATTAAAATTCCTGGTAAATGTAGCTTACCAAAATTCACACCTAAAATGACAGCCAGATCACTAAACTAGTCTGTATAAAAACTATAGCATCAGGCGGGATAGATGCCTTTTTAAGATTAACTTATTATGTGTGGCAATGACAGCACATCATTCTTAATAACTGGCACCTCCCAAGAGACAGAAATAGCCTTCATTCCTAAAATCTCTTGTTACCTCATAATTTTATTTCTCTCTTTTTAACCCCTAATGTTCAATCATTCAATAATTAATCATTTAGATTTTTTTTTTTTCAAAGAGGCATGAATTGGCTCTGGAAATGTTTAAGGGAGAGATAACTGAGTTCCCTTCACATAAAGGTAAATATAGTCCAAAGGTCAGAGCTCAAATTTCCCAAGCCATTGAAATTCACTTAAGAAGACAGATTAGTCCAAGCCAGTTTGCCTAGTGGATAAAGCATTGACTGGCAGACTGAAGGATCCCAGAGTTTGATTCCTGTCACCAGAAAGTACCTCGGTTGCAGGCTCCATCACCCACCGTGGTCTAAGTGCTTGTGGGAGGAAACCAATCAATTTGTCTCTCTCACAACAATGACTCTCTCTCTCTCTCTCTCTCTCTCTCTCTCTCTCTCTCTCTCTCTCTCTCAAAATCAATGGGGAAAAGTGTGGGGGGGTTAATTAATCCTCACATATGTTAATTAATCCTCACAAAAAAAAAGAGAGAGAGAGAAGGAGAAGGGAGAGGAAGAGAAGGAGGAGGAGAGAGGAAAAGAAGGAGGAAGAGAAGGAGGAGGAGGAGGAGGAGAAGGAGGAGGAGAGTACCTAGTTAGCCCAAACTCATCTGTTGTCCAGCTTCTTCGGGTTTTCAATTTACATTCCACCTCACTTTATCCAGCTTCTTCGGGTTTTCAATTTACATTCCACCTCACTTTTTACTAAAGTTGCTAGTTGGTGCTGGTTGGGTGAGGGGAGCCCCCACAGGACTGAGTAGAGGCCTCCAAAGAAACAGTCCTGATAAGTACAGGAGAAGCAGAGGATTTGAGGTCTGACTATTTTGTCTTAGATCTGCTGTTTGACCCGAGGCAAAATGAGCAGCTCCTCAGTTTCAGCTTCCTTGTCTTTGAAATGGGACTGATGTTTTTTCTCTAATTCTGGGGAATAAATATTAAAAATGAAATAATGCATTTGAAAATAGCTGGTATGCAACAAGCAGTTGACAAATGTTAGTTGATGGTTAATATTTTAAATGAACACATTGTTCCTCAATACACCTAAGTTAGTATATGTACTGCAGAAGCACACAATACACCTGACCATTTGATTTTATTCATCCTTCCCTAAATGTCATAACACTTTCAGCGGCTCTC